CACATGTTTGGATAGATCTATCTAAGATAGAGTTAGATAGATAGATTAGATTAGATTAGATTAGATTAGATTAGATTAGATTAGATTAGATTAGATTAGATTAGATTAGATTAGATTAGATTAGATTAGATTAGACTAGATTAGGTTGGATTAGATTAGATTAGATTAGATTATATTCTATTATATTATGTTATATTATATTACAGTAAGAACAAGCAAACAAAGACAAGTAAACAAGTCCATCACTGCATAACCTTGTCGATGCCAGAGTCTCCAAATGCGGCTTCGTAAAGGTTGCTTGCGCTCTATCCTTACATAGGTAGATCTGTATATCTACTATATCTCTATACAACATATACATATATATATATATATACCCAATTCACATATTTGTATATATAAAGTACTTTTATGTATGTTATTTTCATGTGTGTATATATATAGAGATACATATACACATAACATACATACTGAATGTATGCATGCATGTATCTTTATGTATATGTAAACACAACATTTATACTGCCAAGCTAAGACGAAAAGCCTTCGGATATCTTCGGAAAAAAAGGTCATGCAGCCATCAAGCTGTAACTCGCCCTGCCGTCCTGCTTTAGTCTTGGATTTAGGGTTGATAAGGCTTAGGGTTTAGCGATTGAAGCTGCATCTGGCACGGTGAGGCTGCAGCTTCGACCAAAATTGGTCAGAGAACTCAGACAAGAAGCCTTAAAACCCCTCACTCTGTGGCCCAGTGGCTGGAGGGAAGTCCGCTGCCCTTTCAGTGGGAAGTGGTGGGGCCGTGCCGAAGGCTGCTGGGTGCGGGAGCATCTCCTGCAAACTTGTCTGTTTAGGTCTGTTTGGTTTCTGTGTTTAAGGTTTCAAGTATTGTGCCCATAAGCTGCATAAAGACTATAGGGTTCGATTTCGTACGCCGTACGCATGAATCGTAGTTAACTGCGCACGTTTGGGATTCTGGCCTGTCATTATGGCTTTGGGGCCTGGGTCGCAGGCGATCACAGCATGCTGACCTGTTCATGCCACATTGTTGGTAGGTACGTGTAGCTGGCTGACTCTACTGGATTCAAGGTTTTGGCACCCGAAGTGACTAGTCGAACCAAATTCCGCTGGTGGTTCCGAATATTGCCGGTGGAAAAACTTCCCTGGTGCTAGCCCAACCAAGCGCCGCTGCAGTGTCGCAGGTCCGAAATGATCTGCTTGAGGCTAAACCCTAAACCCTAAACCCTAAAAACCCTAAACCCCAAACCCTAAACCCTAAAAACCCAAAACCCTAAAACCCTAAACCCTAAACCCTAAACCCTATGCTAACAGGTGCCCGGCTCGATCCTCCGCAAACTTTGTCGGGACAATGCTGCTCAAATCGATGGCATTGGCCTTGCGTGGCTCAGCCGGAAAGCGGTCGGACCAGTGGGAACCGATGATGACCTTTGATTTCGAGGATCATGGCACCTCTCGGCGTCAGTGCTGGCTGTGGAGGATGCGGTAGCTGTGGTGCTGTTAGTGGGGGTCAGGCTGTTGGAGGTGGTCGTGGTAGCGTCTTTGCTGGTGCGTCTTGCTTGTCTTCGTCCAGATGTGTCAGGTGTTGTCGTTGTCAGGCAGCTGGTTGCGTGTTGTCGTCGTTATTGATGCCGCGCCGTCAACGTTGCTGTCTCTGTTGTAACTAGCTAATCAATTGCTGCACTTCTTGACGACTCGGGGGCCTCTAATCGTAGCCAAACTCTCCGAAACATTTCGGTGTGACATCTGAGTCATTGCCAACCGCCTAAGTACGACAGAGCAGAACCGAAAGTGCCGAACAACCTTACAATTACAACTACTCGGCTGTGTTCTTGTTGCCACTTATACACATCAGTTAGCACAGTGGCCCCATCATCACACCTCCTCATCATCATGGCCACCATCATCACAACGAGAATAATATTCATCATCATATTGTTATTACAAATATTCAATACTGGTCAGTGCTTTCGGCCACTCT